GTAACTGTATCTCTGAGAAATGTTTTCCCTTGTGATTTTAAGAAAGGAATGGTATATGTGCAAAGCCAATGTTTACTCTTTGAATTATGTAAATGTCGTTTGCAGATTGTTTGTGTTTCTCCCCCCAAAAAAACCTTTTTGTGTGCGTAGATGTGATTGTTATCTTCTTGCTTCACTGTGAAAGAAAAACTGTTTGATTTGCATTTCTTTGAAAAAAGTTGGTTAATGCAATGCTTATCTAAATACTTATTGTCCCTCTAACAGTTAACCTTTGGACTATGTTTCAAGCTGCTCAAAAACTGGGAGGATATGAAACAGTAAGTGTTTAAGTAACTTAAATGGGAAAAAAATGTGTAATCTAGCTTTCCCCTGTTTAGGGTGGTGTTTCTTTTTCTCAAACACACACAGATACACACACACAGGAAATAACAATGTAGTACACACACACATACAGAGAGAGAGAGAGAGAGAGAGAGAGAGAGAGAGGTTATTGGGTCCTTTTTTAGAAAAAGCCCCAATTAGTTCCAGGTTTGGCAAAACTGTAAACTTGTTGAAGAAGAAAAAAAAACACTTCTTGAGTGGAAAACATGTGTAACTCTTCCCTGTCAAGGAAATTGGTTGGGTCTGTAATTTTTTCCCATGTTGAGAAAGGGCTATTCTTGTACAACAAGCCAAGATTGCATAAAATGAAATTTCACTTGGCATAGTCCCTGACATCTGTTCATGTTGGAATATGGGAAATGTATTAAATGCTTTCAAAAGTAATCAGCGTTGTCCATTAAGGAATAGCTTGGTGCAGTATCTTTCTTTACTGTGAATAGTAAAAGATCTTTATTAGACAAGGGTCAGTGCCACATAAACAGGAAGTTATCCAAAGTATAAAGGCAAGGGGGGAGGGAAGCGGAATACTCTGACACTTTTTATCAACTAACCATATCTGACATGGCCACTTTATTTTTAGCTCACAGGGAAATTTGATGGTTGCGGATTTTACAGCATGTATTCCAAACCAATAAAACGTTGGAGCAACAAACTGCGATTAAGATCTTGAAATGAGAAGAAAGAGCTGCTTTAATATGGCATATAAAGATGGCATCTGCAATAAAGCCCATTTGACATAAGACGATCGTCATTGGGAATATTTCCCCAGCCCATAATGCTCAGATTAGGTTGTGCATTTCCTGCCACAGTTGAATGCAAAAAAACATATTTAAATAGCTAGCTAGCTAGATATATTTATTTGTTTTGCTTTGTTCACTGAGTATAAATCTGGGCTGCATCTATTCCATAATGAAGTAACAGAGAACACAAAAGCTGAAATTAATTTAAACTGAAATGTAATCACTCTGGTATTTGTCCCATAGAACAAAGTCTGTTGTGTCATTTTAATGCCTGTGCAGTTAGCTAACATATCTGTGGTTGTGAAATAGTAATCACATACAGGTATTGGTAGCTTTAGTTGACTTTCTTTGGTTTGCATCTGATCTGAGTGCCTGATTCTGTGCTTGTTTACTTGGGAGTTAACCCAACTCTAATTTATTTAAATTTATTCACTACATTGGGTACACCAAATAGCTGTTGTTCTCTGAGCAATGTACAGAAAACATCAAAAACTAAATATACTAAAACAACAATAATAAAATTAAAGCAGAACTTCTTAAGCACTAAGGAAGTGCTTAAGCACTAAGGAAGGCTAAAAAAAAAACTTGCCAATCAGTTGATAATACAAGCATTAAAAGTATTCTTTGAGTTTTGCTTTGAAGTAAGGATGTATAGGGTTCCAGTGTGCAAACCTTTGGAAAGTTCCGCTTCTGTTACAGTTTTTGGTGTTCAAAGGCTTTATTCATGCAGGAACTATTTACAGCAGAGATGAGAGAGAATAGAAGACATATTTTCTCAACAAGTTGGGAGAGAGAAAAATGGCTCAGTTTTTAGGGTTGGCGTTAACTTAGACAGAGAGTTACAAACAAGTGCTGGCTAGATTGCTAGAGAAGCAGTGCTCTCTTGTGGTTTAAAGTAACATATGCATTAGCTGGAAGCTCATGAGAAGGAAATTTTATTTGCTTTTCTCCAACACTTCTGGGCAAATGCTATTAGAAAGTGAAATTAGGCAAGTATGTTAAGTTGGAGCCATCAAGTTAATGACATGTCTTAAATCTTGGCCCTTACATTGTTCCAGATTTTATATTCAAATAAGTGTGCAGTTTACACACACACAAAAAAAAAACCAGCAGCAAAGTAAGATAAAATATGGAGTAGTGACAAAGAGAAGTCAAGATAGCCTTTGAAGTTATTTCTAACAATCTGGCCATTTGGGGTGCCATCTTATGTAATGTGTTCAATGCAACTTTCTCCCTGAAAGGATTTCTGCCTTAGTCTATTAAAACGGCTAAAAATATTTGTATAAACCCTCTTCCCAGATGTTGCATAACTTGTTAACCTCCATCATGCTTATCCAATGTAAAACTATAGTTTTCTCCTTAAATGCCACATTCATTGTATTTTTCACACCATATTACAACCTTTGAGCCATTCTTCTTTCCAGTAGAGTGAAACTTACAAATTGAGATTTCATAATGCGCAGGATTTAGCAGTTCTGATTTAAGCTTTCATCACTTTGACCAAACTAAGCTTAAGGGGCTGTCTGCCCAGCCAGCAAGCAGTTCATGTTCTGCTGCAAACAATTCAACTAAAGCAGGCACATGAGAAAGCTTCCCTGATCTGAGCAGGAATGATGAGGCACAGGATACAGGATGCTGGTACTAGCACCACTCCTGCATATACACAGATTGAACAAGATTCTGATGCCCATATTTTCCCTTCTGTTTTGCGGCACTCCTGCTGTCAGCAACAGCTTTTTAGTGGGGCAGAAGGGGTTCCTAGTTTGAAAGGGTGCCTCTGAAGACCTAGTGCACGTGCAGCCCGTTAGTTTCCAGCATAATTCAGATAAGAAGTGTTGGATACACTTCAGCATGCACCTGATAGAGATCCAAGTGGCAGATTTGCATTGGTACGCATATACTCCTAATTCACACCCCACATTTGTTTGTTTGTTTGATATACCGTATTTTTAGCTCTATAAGACGCACATTTTCCCCTCCAAAAATTAGGGGGAAATGTGTGTGCATCTTATGGAGCGAATGCAGGCTCCTTGGCTTCAGCAATAGCAACGCGAAGCCTCCGAAGTGCAGTGGGAGTGCTCCCACTGCGCTCCGGAGGCTTCGCGTTGCTTTTGCTGAAGCCTGGAGAGCGAGAGGGGTCGGTGCGCACCAACCCCTCTTGCTCTCCAGGCTTCAAAGATAGCTGCCGGAAGCCTCCGGAGCACAGCAGGAGCTTCCGCTGCACTCCGGAGGCTTTGGGTTCCTATCGCTGAAGGATAGGTGCCCCTTCAGCTAAGGCGCAGCGACCCTTCAGCTAAGCGGGAGGAGAAATTGAAGGGGCTCCGTTTCTCCTGTCACTTCGCTGAAGGGGCGCTGAGCAGAGAGGGGGAGAATTTTTTTCCCCTTGTTCTCCCCCTCTAAAACAAGGTGCGTCCTATGGTCAGGTGCGTCCTATAGAGCGAAAAATACGGTGTACTCCTTCCTGTTTGTTGTTTAGGCGTAAGGGTCAAAAATCTTTTGGTGTTGTTGCTTTTCCTGAGGCCTTCTGTATGTTACAAAATTATTGTGGAGTTCTGAATTCAGAACAACATATGCTGGCATGAGCTGCTTAAGAATTCTAGTTGAATTTAGATAGTGTTATCCTTTTGGGAATTATAGTTGTGCATGATAACCTAAATGTCTGAAACGGGGACTGCCAAATGTCTGTAAATGACAGTGGTCCATGATGTCTGATTTATTGCCTCAGGCAGTTGTCCAGCTGTGGGAGTCAAGATGGGGGCTGATAAGTCCAGCTCAGGTTGGCTATTGCCAACTAAACATTGGTTATCTCTTAACTTGAACATGTGAGCTCATTTTCCAATGAATGGATGTGCCACAGGCTGGAGACAGATGTAAAATACAAACAATAGAGAAAAGCGGTTTTTCCTGATGACTCAGAGTAAATGCTTTATTTCCTTCAGAGTTAACATGAAATCAGTGTTTTGGAAGTAATACTGTCACACTGGAGGCATCTCTCCCCCAAAGGCTTTACACTAGATTCAGAATCAGGCTCCTGGGCATCATTCATCATTTTAAATCAAATGATATCTATGCTGACACTATTTCCAGCAATATTCTGATTGCCCCCAAGATTCGCTTTTGAATTTGCATTGGCCGTGTAGGTGTTCTCTGTTTCAGAAACCACCCCATTGCACGATCTTAATTGCATACCATTAGCTTGTGTCTGCTTTTTGACTCAACAGATGCTTGCTCTTCAGTGGGGTATCAGGCTACACCTGCAGTTCGTCAGATTTACTTGTACAGAGTTTTGAGGTACAGAGTGTACATAAGAATTGCCCTAGTTGATCAAGACAGGTGCCCATAATGCACCTGGTCATGGAGAATCCATTTAGCTATGGATGTCTTGGAGATGCTCTTATGTGGCTACAGCTTTCACTGTCTTGATTAGGCCTATTGTTATGGCGTCACCTGATAAGAGTCATGGGTAGTGGTGAGGAAGTTGACTAGGAACATAATAATAAAAGTAATAAGCTTCAGTGAAGGTGTGTTCATTGAAATATTCCCCTGCTGTCAAAATGTTACAGTATAGTCAGTACAGTTACAGTACTGTCAAAATGTTACAGTACAGTCAGATCAGAGCTGATCCAGTTCATAGCAAGTTTAAACTGAGAGAGAGATTTTAATGTAGCTGGAATTGGACGGTGGCATGTCCATCCCACACCGAAACGGAGGTGAGGGGATGCCAAACAGCTCAATGGTGGCTGACTGTGCTCAGTTGGCATGGAATGCTGATTTGCTTTGGGGAGTGGGGTGGAATGAATCATAGAATCATAGGACTGTAGAGTTGGAAGGGACTGTGCAGGTCATCTAGTCCAAACCCCTGCAATGCATAATTTTTTTTGCCTAAGGTGGGGCTTAAACCCACAACCCTAGGATTAAAAGTCTCATGCTCCACCATCTGACCTATGAATGGAATGGCTGGATCCCTGAAGAGCAAAACTACAGATTGCAGTATTTTGTTGCGGGACCCCACTTATGCCATCTTAGTATCTCTCTCTTTCAGAGTTGCCCCTTGTCTGTTTTAATCTTCTGCCATTTAAAACCATCCATATAAGTTTCTTCTTAAAGATAAAAGTAGTGGAGCCTCCCTTGCAGAGCAGGGTAGCTCTAATGGGCTATAATGTTTCCCGATTTTAATTAGATCCATCCCAATAAATCTGAGAAAATGCAGAGGTAATAATAATAATCCAAAGACATAGACTCAGGTGATTCTTTAACACGGTAGATTCCCACCTGTTTCAAACTTGCCCGGATTGCTCTTTGGGGGAAATTTAAATTATAGTAGGCTTTGAACCCACTCTATTCTGTCACATTCCTTTTTCTGTGGAGAGACTGACAGCTTTAAGCAAGTCTCAGCTCTTATGATTGAGAGCTACAGCCTCAGAACAAATGTTTAAATAATAGTAAGAGCTGTGGAACAGACTCCCATGAGAGGTGGTGGACTCTCCTTCCGTGGAGGCAGAGGTTGGATGGCCATCTGTCATGGATGCTTTGTTGAGATTCCTGCATAGCAGGGGGTTGAACTGGATGACCCTTGGGGTCCCTTCCATTGCTACAGATACCATGTGCAAATATTGTTGCACCTTTAAGCAGAAACAGAGGGACACACATGAATTAGAACAGATTGTCTTGAATCAAATATCAAAAATGAACATTACAGGTGGTGTTCTCTTTATAGTCTTTTAAGACCAGGTTCCCAGAAGGCACACTTTAATTACTTAAATTTAACCATGGGAAGAACATTGATCACCTAGATCAGGCATGGCCAAACTTGGCCCTCCAGATGTTTTGGGACTACAACTCGCATCATCCCTAGCTAACAAGACCAGCGGTCAGGGATGATGGGAATTGTAGCCCCAAAACATCTGGAGGGCCTGACCTAGTTAAAGTTCACTGTTCTTTGGTGATAGTTGCAGTGGAAACCGGGAAACATTACAATAACACTGCAATGAATGGGTTACTGTCTGTATTAATATGGGAAGACAGAATATGAGCTTGGCATTTCCATTGCAGCTTCAAGCAAAGATTGCACTGAAGAAGCCTTTTACGATAGAAGGAAAATGACACTTTTATCTAGCAATAAGTGGTCCAAACTTTAAACAACAGTTGGAAGCATAGTGCATTTTCCAGTATGAAAGTGAAATTTGTATAGAACAGCTGAGCACAACTTGTGGCACATCAAACCAAATGGAGCTTGTCAAGTATTAGTAGCTTGGCCTGCCAGGTGTTTGAGACAGTCCATGTTTTTGCAATTCCAGACAAGCGGCAAAGCAGTAAGCTCACTGAGCCCCTGGTGTGATGCTCTACTTGGCTAGTGGGCTGAATTTGACTTGTAGAGTTGCACTGTGTTAGTTTGGAGTGGAATACAGAATAGTCGGAGAGCAGCAGGGGGCATCGGTAGGGATCCTGACGATATGTCTGCTCCCCATATTGCACTAGCACAAAGGAAAAATGGGGGAAAGACTTTGTTAAAAGGATGCTAATGGAAGGAAAGTCTAGTGTCGATTTGTGAGCAATCATGCCCTAAATATAATGGTGGCAGGGTTTTCTGAACTTTCCAGAAAAAAAGTTTGCTTCGTTCATATCCTTTAAGAAGATTATGACATCAGGCGTTAGGCCTTATTTTTAAAAAATGTAAATAAGGCATGGTGTCGAGACTTCCAGGAACTGGGTCTTTCATTACCACGTCAGCATAACTTAGCATAATCACTATGGTAAATAAGTGGTGCTGGCCTATTGATTTCAGAGCAGGCATGACTGCCAAGAGAAACTGAATCTGAATTAGTAAAAAAAGAGAGAAGTGTTCTATTAAACATTTCCACACCTTAAACTGTAATGCTCACAGATGGGGGCATCCATTCTGTTAAAAGTGTGCATTTACATTCAGGTTATTCACTTTTAACTGAATAAGTGCAGTGAGACCAACCAAACAGCCGTTTTCCACCTTGATCTTCAAAACTAGTCACGCTTGGCACAGAATCTAAGACGGGTTGATACTGACTTCCTTGTCACTTTAGTTCTCTGAGCCATAGTGGGCTTGAATGAACACTCTCTCGTACCTACCACAAGAACGATTTCAACCTCCAGGGATAATCAAAACACAATGTTCTTGTTCCATGCCTGCGTCTTGGCTAATCTGCCCTGTTGCGCCACTGTGCCCATTTCTGCCTGTGGTGTGTGCATAAATGGGTCTGTAGATCAGCCATCTTGTGTGCACCTCCTCATATGGGAGTCCTGGATTTGCCAGTTGTGCCCCATGCACTCTAGATCTGGTGGGATATTGTGCGCCAGGAGCCCTTGGTTCGTTGCGCACAACATTCCCACAGCGTGTGGAGGGAGGAGCGTGGGATCCGGGTGTGTGTACATGCCATTTCTACAGTCATGCAGTTGCTCCTTTAAGTTGAAAAAAAAACAAACCCAAAACAGCTTTGCAAATAAGTTGTAACTGAATATTTAATTTCCCCACACAGAAGACAGTTTTATCAAGGTTTTAGGTTATTTCATACTACTGATGAACAAATAGGCATTTTTGATTTAATCGGCATCTAGAAGTAGGCGGTGGTTATGTCTAATGAGAACAAAACAAAGATAAGCTTCAAGGATGTTTCTCTGAAATTATAACATTACCAAATAACATGTCTCTTGCTTTTGAAGCTGGGTTTCTGAAAAGGAAGCGTTTTATCTTTATGCAGAGCAGGAAAAGCATCATTTACCCTATAATATTTAACTGCTCCACTCATCTGCTCTTTTTAAGATTAAAATTACAGGCCCCCAGATTGCAAGTTTTGATATTTGTTTTCTTTTGATTGCTGCCTTTGGCTCCTTAGTGAACTTCATCAGCAGCACTGTGGGTAACTGTAAAGAATTCTGTGGGACTCTCTATTAAGCACCACAGCATTCCACAAAAATGACAAAATTCACTCAGAATTTATTTTTGAAACATCTTTTCTAAGCAATTTCCCACAACAACATGCCCCCACTTTTTAAATTGCATGCAGAAAAAGGTTGACTATTACCATGCTTTGCCTCTCAGGTTCCTGTTTTTCTTCCTGTTAAGACTATAGAAAATAATGAAGTAGAATTCAGAACAATTATTTTGCCAGGTCTTGTATCTATTATTCTTTTGGCCCCATTTTTCTGTGCAACGTTCCTCCCCACCAAAAAAAATAGCGTGCAAGTTAATACTTTAGAAGATGTTTATTTTCTTCCATTTAGCCAAATAACTCAGATATTAACATTGGATAGTGTTTAGATTTCACTACCATTTGAACTATATATTTTACTGACGCAGACGGATGAAAATAAACAGCTTGTAACATATAGAGTTACAGGCTGTGAGTCTATGTGGATTTAGGGGAGCCTGTGATGGATTAAGGGTTTGCAATGGATTCATTTTCACTAACTCAGTTAAAATAACTATGTAATCATTATTTGTGCTTAGTTTGAGATTCATTTTCATAATTTACCAAGGGATTTGTCTGCATACATTTTGATGCTTAATGGCCCTCAATTGATTGAAGTTCCTTTTCAAGAAATCGTACACACAAAATAGCAAAATTGCTTGATAATGAGACAGCAGTAAAACCCAATTGTACAAAAAAAAAAAAAAGGTTTATGTGAAGCAAATGTGAAAAATGTCTCTCTCTCTCTTTTGCTTTTAAAAGAGCCATAGATACATATTCAATCCGTTCTAGAGGGGATTTAACAGTGCTTGTAGTACATGGCGTTCTAAATGTCTCACATATACATTTGTTGCTGTGAATTCAAACTCTGCACACACACAAATATCTGTAAAGATGCAAGATTAAATTTTCCATTGCCACTTTTACAGATAACAGCCCGCCGACAATGGAAACATATTTATGATGAATTAGGTGGTAACCCTGGGAGCACAAGTGCAGCCACGTGTACTCGTAGACATTATGAAAGGTAAGATAACAAATATGAAATGCTTGTTTAATAAAGGAGAAAAATTAATTTGAAGGGACTTCAAAGCCTTTTGTAAAGAAATGGGGGCAGAGAGGGGGGAGAGGCAAGAAGGCCTCTTACAAAAGGCACAGTAAATATTCCATCACCAGTTTAGTCCTGTAATATGCTGTAATTTAAACCAGTGTGTGTCTCCGATTGCAAAGCAAATAAATCGGGGGATATGATTCCTTTCTTCTTCATACCTTGTTTTACCAAAGCTTCTATAATATAGAAGCTGTAACTGATGAGCAAAACAGATGATAGTTTGATGATGGACAAAATGATCATATCTTAACTGCTTTGGCTGGGGTTTTTTTGTTGTTTTTTTGTCTTTTAAAAACCACTCTGCAGATAAATGCAAATAAAGCAATGTATGGCTGTCTTCAGATTAGTGGGATGTTCCCATTATAAGTCACGGGGGGGGGGGACATTTCTTCCATATTCCTTTAATGTTTTCTTCTCTCCTTTCTTCTTGCAGCTGACAACCATTTATCTTTCTAAAGTGCAGCAGAGTTGCTGTTTTATAAACATTGATTTTGTACCCTTTCTGAGTTAATAATAGTTTCCAAAGGTTGGGTATCCAGCGTACATCGGATAACATGATACGGTTGTGATGCTTCCTTAAAAGAATTTTGAGAAAATACGGCCATTAATAAAATATGTGTGCTTTCAAGCTCTGAAATGAGCAATATGATCTCATGCTCCAGATCACTAACTAGTTTCCTGTAGGGGCCAAGAGAGTGTTTGTTTATCACCATCTTACAGCATTGCAATGCTTTTTTGACATACGTTGAACATACGTGTCTTTTCTAAAGTGTTAACTGCTAGCCAGACTGAAAGAAGTGAGGTGCCAGCCATATTCTGTATAGGACTATTGTTCACTTTAAATTCCAGAGTGAAAATCTGATTAGTGTTACAGGTAGGTAAGTAAATGTCTTCTAGCGTGGGAGCCTGGAACCGTGCAAATTATGGACAATCCACATTAAGAGTTGGCCATTCTCAGTTGATCCCACTGAATAATATGAGTCAAAGTAAACAGACTCTTTGGATCATAACCAGTGAGCACACTTTAGAGAATTTTAGTTTAGGCAAGTCCCATTAAATCCCGTGGAGGTTAGCTGGTTCCTTGTCACCTTGATTTCTGTGGGATTTTGCCTTGCTTGGGAGGCAAAGAACATGGCTTGGGAGAAAAAGAACATAGTGTGGTATCCAACTAAGTCATACTCAAGGGTAGACCCATTGAACTCGATGGGCATGACTAATTTAAGTGCATTAATTAAAAATTGTCTGTAACTCATAGAATCATAGAATCATAGAATCATAGAATCATAGAGTTGGAAGAGACCACAAGGGCCATCGAGTCCAACCCCCTGCCAAGCAGGAAACACCATCAGAGCACTCCTGACATATGGTTGTCAAGCCTCTGCTTAAAGACCTCCAAAGAAGGAGACTCCACCACACTCCTTGGCAGCAAATTCCACTGTCGAACAGCTCTTACTGTCAGGAAGTTCTTCCTAATGTTTAGGTGGAATCTTCTTTCTTGTAGTTTGGATCCATTGCTCCGTGTCCGCTTCTCTGGAGCAGCAGAAAACAACCTTTCTCCCTCCTCTATGTGACATCCTTTTATATATTTGAACATGGCTATCATATCACCCCTTAACCTCCTCTTCTCCAGGCTAAACATGCCCAGCTCTCTTAGCCGTTCCTCGTAAGGCATCGTTTCCAGGCCTTTGACCATTTTGGTTGCCCTCCTCTGGACACGTTCCAGTTTGTCAATGTCCTTCTTGAACTGTGGTGCCCAGAACTGGACACAGTACTCCAGGTGAGGTCTGACCAGAGCAGAATACAGTGGCACTATTACTTCCCTTGATCTAGATGCTATACTCCTATTGATGCAGCCCAGAATTGCATTGGCTTTTTAGCTGCCGCGTCACACTGTTGGCTCATGTCAAGTTTGTGGTCAACCAAGACTCCTAGATCCTTTTCACATGTACTGCTCTCAAGCCAGGTGTCCCCATCTTGTATTTGTGCCTCTCATTTTTGTGCCCAAGTGCAATACTTTACATTTCTCCCTGTTAAAATTCATCTTGTTTGTTTTGGCCCAGTTCTCTAATCTGTCAAGGTCGTTTTGAAGTGTGATCCTGTCCTCTGGGGTGTTAGCCACCCCTCCCAATTGCAAACAAACCGCCTTTAGCAATCTCCCTATACAGGAGAGGCAGTGTTAGTGCCCATATGGAAGGTGACTGCTGTGAGGGACATTTGAGTGTAGTCTCCATTTCAGGATCAAGCAACAAGTTATGTTAAGCACATTTTTTAAAAAGGCATGTGTCAGGGGTTCAGGGACAGAGGCACAGGGTAGGCAGGAGATGGAGAGCGATGGGGATGAATCCCAGGACAGCGAGGAAGAGGATGACAATGACTCAAGAGATTCCATGAGTCTTTCCAGCGAATCAGAGGATTCCCAGAAGGGGGCGCCGGTGGTCAAGGCCAGGGGAGCCCCAGGGGGGACGTGTCAGGAGCAGGGGGCCAGCGGGGCATCCCAAAGTGGCAGCTGGGCGTCAGGACCAGCCTCCCCGCCAGAGTGCAGCGAAGGGGGTGGAGGTTTCAGTGTATCAGGGGAGCGGCTCCGGCAGCAGAGAAAGGAGGGAGGTCGGAGCAAGCCACCCTCCCGGAAGGGGAGGAGTAGTGAAGGGAGTAGTGGAGCTGTTAAAAGGAAGGTTAGAGGTGGGGCGCGCGCGCCAGTTCAAATGTAGAGGCGCGCGGAAGTACAGGGAGCCCGGAGGAGGGGCCAGGTCCCAAAGCCCGCAGGAGGGGGCAAGAGCAGTCTGATTCCGCGTCAGAGGAATCCAGGAGGGGCGAAACCCCAGCGGGCAGAAAGACCCTGCGGAAAAGGAAAGAAAGAAAGAGGTGGAGCAGCGCAAGCCTCTTAAACTGGTGCAGGGGAGGGACGGATGCAGAGGGGACTTCAGCGGTCTAAGCATAGCAGACGTAGGGCTGCGCGCCTAGGATGTCAAGCAAACAATGAACTGCAATAAACACTTTTGTATATAAGAAGAGATAGGCGTTGGTCTTTTGTGAGCTGAGACTTGAGGCAGCCCTGACAGCATGCTTCATTGGCCACCTAGTTTTCGAGAAAAAGCAGCTACGTGGAGAGCAACTTCAGAGGCAAATAGTAGCCAAGGTGTCGATGTCACCCTGATGTTTGGCCCCGTTCTGGATTGTGGCCTTGATTGCTTTTTCTGGAAGAAGAAAAGTGGCCATGGAAACACACGTTGTGGTTTTAATGCAATCTTTGATCCTCACTGCAAATCAGTGGCTGGTGTAGCGGGCGGAGGAAGGGTTGATTGGTTCATATACCCTCTCACCCCGCAATAGATAATGAGTGGAGCATGAATTTCCCCTGATCATGCCAGGATGCATTTGTGGGGCAAAGGATGTCTGGCCATGCCTAGAATGTCTTTCTCCCAAACTTTGGCGCTTCTGTTCTTGTTACTCATGTTTCTGTTCTCTTGCTGTGTGAGAACTGGGAACAAAGAAATGGCCTTGTTGGTGCTGTTGGTTCTGTGAATTGGACCCTACCTTTCTCAGACAGGAATATTAACTTTACAGGTGAACGTTTTCCGGCTTCTTGATGTCTCTTGGTTTCTGCTCCCCCCCCCCCATCAACAGAAGTTTGCATTTCAGGCAGGTTTTCCTAAAGTGGTAGCAAAGTAAGCTGCAGTTTTCACACTTCAGTTAAGCAGCATAAGGCCTACTTTGTAGATAAGACCGGATTTAAAATGTAATAGGAAATTTGGAAAGAAATTTGGAAATTTGGCAACCTTAGGTGGCATTTTGCAAAACGTTTTGAATAAACTATTAGAAAGAAAGGCCATTGAATCCATTTGTCTAGGTTGCAGAACTGTTCTTTTTCAATGAAAGCAGTTGTAAACAAACAAAATTGGCAGAAGTTGACTGGCACCTAAAAACCGTATTAGCAGTTGAGTTGCAGTTGACACAGTTTTCTGCAGGTTTGATTTATCCGTTAGTAACAATTTGGACTAGATGGGAACAGTACTGTGCCTCAAGCATGCTTTGCACGCCCCATATCTCACGTGTAATCCATGCTGTTTTTAACAAATGGATAGAAGGATATCTCAGTTGGTAGAGCATGAGACCCTTATCCTCAGGGTTGTGGGTTTGAGCCCCATGCTCAGTGAAAGATTCCTGCATTAAAGGGGGTTGGACTAGATGATCGTCATGACCCCTTCCAACTCTACTATTCTATGATTCTATGATCTCAGGTGTCAGGACTAGGAAGGGTCTCTGCCTGAGATGCTGAAGTATTGCTACTAGTAGAAAATGACAGTGACAGGGAAGATGGTCTGACATGAGAAAGCGCTCTCTGTGGGCTCCCCTTTCAAAAATCAGTGTGTGCTCCCCCTTTCAAATAAAGAAGGGCTAAGCATGATTTCAGTGCGTTATTGACATGTTTGGTTTTTTTAATTGCAAGTGGCTCACTTCCAGTAAACATTTTCATTTTTAAAACAAAGTGTTGTTGCCAGTGGGTTCACTAAGTGTTATTTTGGATATGCATTCTAAGCGTCCTTTTGCCTTATTAATGAGTGCAATAATGCAAGCGCTGGTTGCTTTGAGCCGAGAATCAATGGATGTTTTTATTTAAAGCATAGCAGGAATCGTATAATGCCCATGAATGCATTATTGTCACTGTAGGGCTGGCTGGTCTAAACCTGCCTCTCTGATTGGTTTAAATCAAATCAGTCCAAGCACTTCATAAAAATGTCCTTGTCAGCCCAGTTTGGCTTGCAAACCTATTCATCTCTGTCAGTTTTTAATATTAGTACCAGCTCTTGGCAATAGTCCATTAGTACTGTACTTAATTGCTCATGTTACAGATGATTACCAATATAAAAAGCATTAATGTTTTCCCATTGTGGAGCTGTTGCTATGTACGTGACTCAACACATACAAAGTGTGCAAGTTGTTATTTTGATCAGGAGGCTACAGTTCTTGTAAATTACAGTGGCTGATCACATAAAGTAAAGACAGTATGGGCTGGCTTTAGTACCGCAACAACACAAACCTGGATTTCTGATTTGTGCGCTGTCAGGATCCTGCATTTCTGTGTTAGGTTATCTGGGATTTAGAAATCATTGAAAGTGGTCAGTTTTCTCATAGAACAGTGTTCTTTGCAATGTGTTCTAAGGATATTGATATCAGATCAGATGCAGTTTTCACTCAGTGCCAGTTAAAGTGAGTCAGGGGTTGGTTGGTTTTTCACCCCTGCGCAAAATACGCAATGGATGATTTTTGTTTCCTTGAGTAAATAGACATGATGCTGTAAATGAGCAGGAAGTTGTGGTTTTTGTTAGGGAACTCTCTCTCTCTCTCTCTCTCTCTCTCTCTCTCTCTCTCCCCCTCTCTCTTCATGATGTGTTTGTGACCTCACATTTCCTAAACAAAATGTAATTAAAAAGGAAACAGACTACACATTAAGGTTATGTGTTCTTCTATAAATTGTCTGTCCAGGAAGGTCCACTCCTCACACCCTTGACTGATTGTGTATTCCCTTCCGGAGAAGTAAATCTGAAAAGTTGTAACTCCACCTGACAGAGAATATTGAGATTACTACTAGAGATGCCAAAGCTCAAGAATGGTTTAAGGAAAGCTAGTAAACACACGCACAAAGAAAGAAACACACACACACACACACACACACACACACCCTCTCTACAACATAGGCACATCCACATACAGTATTAGATGCTCTTTCTTTTTCTATCCTAGGATAGTTAAAATGTATGAAAGGTGAAACTCAAAACCCATTTGAGCCATTTTTCTGGCAGCAGACACCCAATAGCCTGCTGCCCCTCTGGTTGGAGAAACTCACAGTTATCTCCTATTGAGAACAAAGATGTAGTTTAGCCATGCACACTTCTTTCAACTTTGAAGAGCAACTGCCAGAAGAGATCAGGGCTGCAGTACATGGGGTGGTTTTAACCCTTTCTTCCTGCACTGTGGTCCCAATGAAAACCCTTCTCCCTAACCCCTAAAAGCTGCTGTTGGTGCAAATGATAGCTTCTTTCCTGGGCCAAATAGAAGCTATGGGGAGAGGAATTTCGTCAGGTTAAACCGTTCTCTTCATGCTCTGCAATCTCATTCTTGATCAGACACAGAGTTGCTGTTTAACACTGAAAAAAGAAGCATGTAACACCATACTACACGTTTAATGTAACTTGCAATTTGGGCCTTATGACAGCTATATTCTCACTTGAAGCTCCCTGCTCTGATCTTTATTTCCTGTCAGTTCCCCACCCACCCTTAAAGGGACAGATATCTCTTCTACAACATCATTCTGTACAGGACATTGCAGACTTTGTGTCTCAGTGTCAAACTTTAGTCATAAAAATGTTGTGTTTTAAGACGTCTTAGTAATCCTGGTATCTTGGACTACTTGAATTCCAAATGTCTGCTTTCTGTCTGTTACTGACCATTTTTTATATTCAGAGACAGCAGTGTCAAAATTGTTAGGATACTTCACAGCAGAACTGAAACCTGCCATGCATATACTCCATAATGTTGTGACATCTATTGTACAAAACCCATGGCATCATCGTACAATAGCCAGCATTTGAGCAGGGAGTAAATCACACGCAAGTGATAGGTTGCACATTTGAACTTGCTGAAGTGTGAAATCACAACAATCCACGCATGCAACAGAACCAGAGGGCCCTTCACATGCTTCCATGGTTCCACATATTTTTTGAATTACATTTATATCTCACCATTTCCTTCAAGGAGCTCAAAGTGGCATACGTGGTTCTCTTCTTCTCTTGTTATCCTCACAATGACCCAATGGAGGTAGGTTAGGTTGTCAGACAGTGATTGGCCCAAGTTGTGTTCACTACCTCATTAATCCAAATATTTAAATGTAATGTATTCAACCCTATCATGTCAGTTGTGGAATCAGAATGTTTGTGTGTATGTGTGTTTTCCTTGTCCCAAACAAATACATTTAAAATCCAGGTAGAGCAATAGGGCACTTATTTACATGTCAAAATGAGAATTTTTACATATTGCAGATAAGTAAGGCAACAAAAGCTGCAACAAACAGATCTAACACTGTCACAGATGTTACAACTTTAACTTGAGGGCTAAACTCTGTGACTCTTCTACCTCCTAGGTAATACAACTGACGACCGATTTTGAATTACGGTATATTGAATTGAGCATCAGGTGGTCTTCCTATATTTAACTGAGCTCTCAAGTTGATGCTTTGCCACTTGTGGTTGCCCCTCCCTCTGTCCAATACTTTAGCAACATTTAGAGTGTCATGCTAAAGATTGAATAGTTTTGGTCAAGAATGAATGTCTAATCTGTTGTTTTACTTGGGCTTTCAATTTTATTTTAATTCTATAACCAAAACTGTCAATAACTAAACAATAACTAAGGGTCATAGGTGGCGCTGTGGTCTAAACCACAGAGCCTAGGGCCTGCCAATCAGAAGGTTGGCGGTTCAAATCCCCATGACTGGGTGAGCTCCCGTTGCTCAGTCCCAGCTCCTGCCAACCTAGCAGTTCGAAAGCACGTCAAAGTGCAAGTAGATAAATAGGTACCGCTCCGGCGGGAAGGTAAATGGTGTTTCCGTGCACTGCTCTGGTTCGCCAGAAGCGGCTTAGTCATGCTGGCCACATGACCTGTCTGCGGACAAACGCCAGCTCCCTCAGCCAGTAAAGCGAGATGAGCGCCGCAACCCCAGAGTCATCTGTGACTGGACTTAATGGTCAGGGGTCCCTTTACCTTTACCTAAACTATAGCTAAATAACTAAACTGGCTGAATCAATTCAAAATTGTATGTCGCTGATTCAGTAAATTGTGGTGGCAGTTGTATAATTTAAGAATAAGCCCCATTGTGAACTCAAGAGGGACTGGCCTCTAAGAAATAATATGTAAGACTCTGTGGTGACCATGTGAGTAGGAAGGAAGAAAAAGAGCTTAGGTATACGATGCATGTAAATTGTAGGGGTTGGATGTCAATGGATGGCATTAGGAGTCTTTACTTCCACCATCTGGAATACCTTGCGAGAAGCTTGCTTTCAGTGAAAAATGTTTAGGTGTGTGTATGGATGATGTAATTGAGATGTAAATAAAAATGTAGAACTGAAGCAAATATTTGTAAATATTCACATTTGCCAATTCTTCCATTCTAATTCTGAAAGCATGCGTTTGCCCTTGTAATTTCAGTTTGTATTTTGAATGGTTTCCCCTCAAAACACAAGTGGTTTCGACTTTGGCATCTCTTGATTTGAGTTGGCAGGCCTCAGAAATGAAAACTGATCAGCAGAAGCTGTCAAATACTGTCAGATGCTAAATACCATTGCATGCCAACTATCAAATAGTGTCAAACACCATTGCATAACAACTGTGAAACACCAATATTAAATACCATTGCATGCCAGTTATCAAATACTAAATACCATTGCATCCCAACTAGCAAAAGCTGTCCAACACCATCTGTCAAATTTGAAAGATTGAAATAAAATCTCAGACTCAAATGTATTATACAGAAATCAAATACCATAGGACATAAAATACAAATATCAGATATTTGATAAGCATTACAATATTCAGAGAACATGCGAGTATAGAGCTGTATACAAATTCTAATAGCAATAATAATTTGCAGACCCAAATTCTGAGGAGTGTTTTTTGAAACTTTATTGTTTGTTTGTTTGTTTCTAGACAACACTGTTTTAAAAAAATACCATTTCAGCTCTCTTTAAAAAAAAAAGTCCATGTCAGCAAAGAACATGAAGTCTTGGTTCTGTCGGTCTGATGTCTTTTCTAACCCGAACTCATAAAGGAGCCTGGCTAGCCTTGGCTTCTCCTGTAATTTCATAAGAGAATTTCTTGGATGTCTGCATTCAATTTTTCCACAGTAAAGTTTTAAGATGACTTCTGGGTGTGGGTGGGTGTCCTTGGTTGATGGTTAATACATTATCTTATTTGTCTAAATTTAGACAACCTTTCTTTCCTGTTTCTTCACTATGCTTCAATCCCCCAAACTTGGGGAACACAAGCTCTGCTAAGTCTTTTTTTTTACAGGACAATAAAGTATTTTTCATCTCATGCAGCCCATCCATCCATCCCATAAGGGGAGGGGGGAGAGAGAGAGAGAAAGAAAGAAAGAGAGAG